ACATGAACAGATGTTGCTGAAATCCATCAATCTTTACAATATTTATCACCAATTACTGTCGTGAATTACTATTTGATTTTTGATAAAGCATGACTATTTGCAGTTTGAAATACAGTGAATATAATTAGAGTGAAGTTTTATTAAGTTAATTAAAATTTTTAAATTTTTAAAAAATTTAATCCAAGTTCATTAAAGATGAATAGTACAAAAAAAAGTTTTGATTCTCTCTAAAATAATAGCAAATTATTTTAAGTTTCACAATTTTTCCTCTTTTACTTTTTCTTTCTACAATTATTTTCATGAATTGAAATTGTTTTCAAAGAAAAAACTTTTATTTTCTCTGAAATATCATACAGACAAGATGATTTTTAATATTAAATTTCATAATTATTATTAAATTTTTATCCTTATCATTTAATGTATTTTAATGGTGATCAATCTGTCGATGCTACGATTTTTATGAACAAAAAAAAAACCTGCTAGTATATAATAAGTTAAGATGGAAGTTAAGCTTTAATAAATTCTCTTTCAAACCCTAAGAAAAAGACATTATTAATGCAAAATGAATTTATTAATTTTTTTCAGAAAGATTTGAACGTCTTATTTTAATTTAGCAAAATGATTAACCACTAAGTACAATTTTATTGGAAATTTGCAAACTCTTCAGTTCATCTTGACAAGATTTGTCTTTATTTAGTTAGAATTTAAATTCGATTTAAATTTGCTATCAAACATGCATGCATGCATTGCATGCATGCTTCATCATGCATTCTGCTATTATCTTATAGCACTTAACAAGCAGCACTTAAATCAATGCTTCTACAGAAACTATTGCTTGCAACAATGAAATCATTCTTCCTCTCAAATGCAATATTTGAAGTATTTAATGGATTCTCTTCTCCTGAGAATGGAGAGAAAACAGAAAAATAGATCGAGAATGAAATTTCTCTCTCTCACTTCATCCCAGAGAGAGTGATAGAGAGAGAGAGAGAGAAAGAGAGGGAAGCTTATTCATGCATTGAAATATATTACATTTATGCATATTAAAATTAATTAATTTTTTGATGGATTTTTTTTTGACGAACGTCAAACTTCGAACTTTAAATTCAAATAATAATTTTGGAAGTTGTTACTATTAATGGAAGTTTATGAAGAGAGTTCAAATGTAAAATTTAAAAACGTCATTTGCAATGCGCATTATTGATGTTGACGTATGATGATGAAATGTTGAGAGATCAATATGTTGGATGAAATTTGAAATATGATAATTAGATGATGAAATGCTTGATCAGCCATTAAGCTACCATTTAGCTATGTGGACAATCAAAATTGTCCAAATAATAGCTAAATGATAGATCTTTTAGGCAATACATTTTAAACAAACAAACAAAAAAAAAAAAGAAGGAAAGCGATCGGTTTAATTGAATCATTGCTAGTGAGTGAGTGACCGCTTCTGAGGTCAGCAGTAGTAGTGGACATAGTAAACAATCTCTAATTGTAATAGCGAATGGAAAAATGCTTTAATGGTTGCAATAATTTATTTGATTGCAATAATGGACCATTACATTTCTGTAATTGATCAGAGCTCATACAGTTTGCAATTGAGATCAAAGTTTAGGCAACTGCCAAAATTTGAATAATTGAAATGGAATGAAACGAATTCCTTGATAAAAGATTGTGTGCAATAATCGGTAACTGTGTTATTTGGCTGTTAGATGAAATGATGATGGAAGGCCGGAAACGATTGTTGGGACAGGTGTCGATCTTATTGCCATTGAAAGCGATACCTAAATCATTTCACCCGGGGCACTTCAGCGAATATTGCGTGCAAAGGTAGCATATGCAAATGAGAGACAAGTCCGAATATAGCATAATAAAAGCTATCTCTGATCATTGAAATGGATAAGGGAAATATTAACTAAATTTTATTGCAAAAAAAAGTGATGAATAAAGTAAATAAGTTGAGTGGTAATGAATAGAAATCAATGAATAAATTAATTGGTGAATGAGTAAGAGAGCTAATTTATTGGTAAATAATTGACTAAAATATTCCTTTTCCAAATTTAATTATTCTTTTTTCTTTGTTTTTTTTTTTCCAAATTCTTGTTTGAATTTTTACAAATTATTTATTTTGTATAAATAATTTAACTAATTCACTTCGTGATTGATGCAATCATATCGTTATATCGTTATATCATTCACGTTTTTGGTCAATTTCTTACGAAGAAGATATTCGAATTCAAAATTATTTCTTATTTTTCATTCCATAAGAAGAATCGGAAATGAAATGATGCATATTGTATAGCTGATAATTAAGCCCAAAGCTTAATTATTCACATTTTGTTCATTTCACTAATGAGAAGAGAGCGGATGAATTGTTCGGGATCCTCCAGAGACGATGACAATGTATGAATGTACAATTTACATTTTCTTTAAATTTATGCGAATTAAATCTAATTGTAATTTTTTGACAGGCACTGTTTTTTCCTTCTTTTATTTAAGCATAAAATTATTGCTAGAAATAAAACATTATGGCTCATTTTTATCTCCAATAATTAGTTCAAGTAATTTTAGTAAAAATGTTTTCTATTGATCTCTTAATCGGTTTTAAAACCATAAAATATTCAATTTTATCTGATTTTGCTTCATTTCCATCTGCTCATATGTTTCATAAATCGAAAAGTTCAAGCCAAATGGAAGTAAAAGCGGAAAAGGAGAGAAATGAGAATTGAATAGTAGCCATAAAGTGATAAAATTCCAAGTATTAAAAACGATGAGTCATATATCGAAATGATACAATATGCATATCGATTTTAATCGAAATTGATCATTATTGGGTTTTCCATATGTTATTATCATTGCATCATATGTTACGTCGTCATCGAAAATCTTTACTATAATTGAAATTATTATAAATCTTTCTCATTATCATCATTACTTCCTTCATAATTAGCTCAATATTTAATAAAAAAATATAATTTTGATTATATTTGTCAATCTTAATTAGCTTCTATTTCCATTTTCATTAAAATTAGCAATTTTTTTCTCCTGACCCGGAATTCAAGGAAGTTAAATCTAAAATTTCTTTTTTTTTCACAATTTGCTCCGGTACTTCTTTAATAAAAATATTTCATATCCAAATTATTTCATAGCATTCATTCACTCATTACAATTATCATATAACAATTAAAATAATTTATAAATTCGATATGCAATCAAAATACTTCACGAGAAATTTCAATAATGCTATGTGTGGGTATGAAATAGCTATGCTAAAAATTTTCCCAATAAATTTTGAAAAGATTTTTAAAATAATTGAAATATTTTGATGGGAAGGTTTTTTTACAAGAAATATTATCCGAATTGTTGTTTTGATTTTGATATTTGGAAGAATTATATTTTTCATTGCTTCTTTTCTTTCGACATCTTTGCTGAATAAATGAAGCTTAATTGAAGTTATGGTAGTGATGGTGATGATGGTGGATGGTTGGTTGGTTGGTTGGTTGATTGGTTGATTGGTTGGTTGGTTGGTGTTGATGAGGATTGATGGGTAAATCTTGTTCAGTGGCAATCCTAAACTGATATAAATAACACTTTCACACCCATCAGCAAAGAAAAGGATGAATTGTAAGGGAAGGGAAATGGGAGGAGGGAGCATTTATTGGATTAGAAACTCATTTCAAGGTCAAAGGATACATTACATCCATTTCATTCTGACATCACCATGCAACAACAATCTAAACAAAAAAAAAAACAATAGGCTACCAATCTAAGGGATAGGTTAATTAATATATTTATAGTGGAAAAAAATAAAAATATTTCGAAAGATTTATAGTGTATTGATTGCATTTGTTTTTTAATAATCTAAATTTCAATGGGTTAAAAAAAAAATAGAATATGAAAATGTTTGAAATTTAATTTGAATTAATTAAAAGTTGAAAGTAGAAAAAAATTGACATTTTTTTTTGAAGTTTTATTTATATTTAATTTTTGTTCTATTTATCGAATTTTTAAAATAATTTGCTGAGAAATTTGTTATGCTAATTTTATGAGAAAATTAGAAAAAGTTTGTCTTTTAATTGATAATATTAGTTGCATAGAGAATTAAGGCACTTTTATCGGTGGAAATGAGATGGAAATGCATTATAAATTGGCTTATTTTATCAGCGCGCTGTTGTTCCCAATTGATTAATTACTTACAGCTTAAAGTAATTTTGGCACACTCTTTGCACTCATTTTGAAGATAAAATGAGAAATTTTAAAGAAAACATGAGAGAAGAACGGTTTATTAGCTGATATTTAAACTTAAAAATATATTTAATAACAATCAAACTATTGCAGTAGTTAATAATATTTTCGCTGTACATTAAATTATTTAAATTTTAACCAATAAGTGAAATAAACAAGTAACTCTCAAATAGTTTACTCCACAAACTATTTTTATTTTTCATATTATCATTTCAAATTTCAGACTTACTGTTACTTCTTTCGCTTCTGTTTCATTCAGTTCAGTAGTGCAAAAATGACTATATGATATGAGGGGGTCATAGTTCATTGATGTCTTAAAATCAACAACAATGCATTCAAAACAAAGAGCAGACAGGAAAAGATTATGGATCGTTTTCGAAATTAGACTCATTTTGGGTTATTTCAATCACTTCTAATTTAATCTCTTCTATGAAATTTTTAACTTTATAACAAACGGCCTTGCATCTATGGGAATGTTACAGTTCAGGGTCATTATTAGTGCTATTATTATAAAGGAAGTATTAATGCATGGATGGAATTTATTCATTTATCCATTAAATTGATATACATGCAAGTAGAAAAATGTATCGATCAATTCAAGAAATCAATTTCTGTGATCTTTGATAGCTACCGCTTTTTCTTCTGTTCAAAATTTTTGGAAATACAAAATGATGATAATAAAGGCATATTAAGTTATTCATTATTCCATTTTTTTTCCTTGCACCATATTATTAATTTGAGATTAGAACTGAAACAAAATATGCATCCTTGTAATTATAAAAATATACCAAATTTATTTGATTCATTTTTTCGAAAAAATTAAAGCCACAAAAAAAACTTTTATTAAATTAAATACATCATTATTATTTTTTATTCAAAAATTTTCAAAAGAAAAGGAAAAATTATTCCATTGATATTTTCTACTTTTTATTGATTGATTTGATAGAATTATGATATGATGAAAGAATGCTCATTTGTTGTAATCTGTCAAAAAGAAATTATTGATTATTAGCGATGATTTTTTGTAAAATCTCACATATTAGTTAAAATAAATGGTAATGAGGTGTAATTTTTATTAGCTTTTACTCAAATTTTATGAATTTATTTGTAATGAATGAAATACAAACAAACCCTTCAGACATTGTAATTAATAGGCAAATATGCACTTAGAAGATTTAGGCATCGTAAATTCATGCATGCTTTGTATGGCTCTGAAATAATCGAATTCATTAATTGAGGCTTTAGCTTGGTTAGCTTGATGCTTATCGAATTGCCAATGGATTAAGCATTTGGGAATGCTCATTAAGGTGCAGTGCAAATTGATGGAAGAAAGATAAGTGAAGGAGGAACAACGACTTCAATGATTATATTTGAAAATGAAAGAAGAAGCCAACAAAAAACAAATGATAGGCTGAACTTAAATAAATGAAAATTTTTGTGAAAGAGGTACAATGTAAAAGACATAAGGCTCTGCAGTTTAGCTAAGTAAATTTAAATTTTAATAAATTCATTTTCCTTACCCTCTCCACCTCATTTTATTAGAGATCACAGCAAATGTAAAAGTTGATCTTTCCTTCATGTAAGCAGTAAACAGTACAGAATAGTTTAAATTACCCTAATATAGAACATAATATTATTTTAGCTGTAATTATATTAACAATAATACCATATGGCATACATTTTTTTGTTTCAATGATTTTAAATTAAAAAAAATACATATCATTTCATATATTCCAACATTAAATCATTGATTTAATGGAATAATCGAAATTTTTCTCGCGTTAATCAATAACTATATTGCTAATTATTCATCGAATAAGTGGAATAACAGAAATGAATTTGAAATCTAATTAAGCTTGATAACAGCATTCAAATTTAATTATGCTTTTGGCAACTATGTATCATTCCCTGAAAGAGATCTAACACATAGTATCCATTACTCTTTTACTTTTATAATTTATAAAAAAATGATGTATAAAATGCTATCATTCATTCTTGTAATTTGAATATAAACCAAATAATATTTTATATTTTAAATATTGGAACAAAAAATCAAGAAAAATATTTCATTTAATTTTTAGCTCGTATACAAATGATAAGAATTGAAGTATTGGATGTGGACGAACCACCGGCATTTCAAAATGGACCAAAACCATATCAGGCTGTGGTAGCATACGACCAACCTGTTGGAATGCATGTCTACAAGGTTAATTTTGGAACGAAAAAAAAACAAAATTTTAAATCCACTTTTTTCTTTCTTGTAAACAATAAACAAATTGCTGTTTATTTTTAAAAAAAATATTAAAATGTCAATATTTTCAAATTAAAAAAAAAACCATAACATTTACAATTTATTTATCATTTTGTGATCAAAAAAAGATTGAATACAAGCAAGAAAAATATTGAAAGTAATAAGAAATGAATAGATTGATCATTTGAGTTTAAGTGTAACAAAAATTTGCTTAACCATCACATTTGTTTATTTTTGAAAAAATTAGAATCAAATTTGTTTTAAAATAGCTTTTATAAAATTGATGTTAAATTGCACGAAAGCATTGTCATTTTGATTTTCATATGGAGGGGGGAGGGGAAGGGAGGGAGAGGGAAATTCTATCAAAGACATCATCAAATAACGAAAGATTAATGTGTTTTATTTGTCTCATCCGTTAGCTTTTTTCGGTTTTTCGTAAGGGCGCAAAATTGCATCAATTTTTGGCCTTATCCTTTTTCCATATCGTTCTCGGATTGTATTATAGCATAAATGAAAAAGTCATTAATTTCTCCGAAAGGATGAGGCCATTCGAGCGTTGGAATGGAAGATGTCATTTTAAGGAAAGAAACGATTTAGTAAAAGGGAACAAATAGACTTAAATAAAGTATTAAAATTGGTTTCAAATATTAAGCTAAATAAATAATAACATTGTAAAGTAAACAAATTCAATGAACGATTATTGCTTATTATATATTCAGGGATTTAAAGTAATGAAAAAATAGGATTCAACAAAACTTTCATTTTGTTGACAAATGAAAGTTTTTCAAAAAAATACGATTCAATAATCAAACTTTTATTTTTTGATAAAATAATTAATCAGTTACAGTTTATTGCTCGAGATGAAGCTGGTGATGGTGATGACGATGTGGAATATCGACTTATCAATACCGAACGTTAGTGCTATCATTATTTCTTCAACGTATTTTTTAATGAAATTTATTTGTTTAATAACTGATTATTTAATTTCAGGATATATGGCTGAGAAATTAGGATTCTGTGATAATTAATTAACATAACTGAGCAATTAGGATTGCGTGATAATTAATTAACATAATCAATTAGAATTATGTGATAATTAATTATGACAATAATGAGAATTAACCAAAAAACTCAATAAATTCCACTATAGTTTTCATAACAAAAAATGAGCAATAACTTTATTTATTATCAAATTTTTAATTAAATTGACGAAATTTTTATTAGTTTCTGAATTTGATTATTTTCAGAAACTGATAAATTTCATCAATTTAATTTACATGGTGAGAGGATCTGCCTGATAAAAAATTTGATTTTAATATTTTGACTTCAAAAGTCTTAACGACAAAATAACGAAATAAAATTCGGAACTATAAAAATGTTAGCATGTTTTAAGCGACAACATCTACGATAGTAAGAAAACATGAAGTTTTGAAATATTTTAAAATGTTTTCGATGTTCATTTTTTATTCTACTAATTATTTTTACCAATAATAAGTAGAGAAAAAAGCTTTGTTGTTTTAGAAAGTTCAGAAGAGAAAGTCTTACTTGGATTAAAAAGCTCCTCTCAACTCCTAATTTTGTAAAATTTCCGAATTTTCATAACTGTCATTTTATAGCACAGGGAGCATTCACTGTAGATCCGATGAGTGGAGTGGTACAAACAGCTTTGAAACATTACAAACCCGGTGAAACTTATCGTATTTTTGTTCAAGCACGAGATCGAACACCAACAGATCCCGAACTTTCTCAGGTAAGAACTTAAAATTCTGTTTTGAAAAAAAAAGAATTATATATGAAATTGAGTTATACTTACTTATGAAGACTTTTAATGAATTTGACATAATTCAATGCGAAATAATTTCATTTATTATCAAATTTTTTGATTAAATTGAATAAAATTTATTAGTTTTACAAAATTCTAAATTTTTTTTGACTAAATATATTTTGAAAAATATTTAATTGAACTTTCGCTCGCAATTTTATTCTACATTGATTTGGCACTAATTTTCTATTTTCTAATGAAATTTATTTGTTAAATAATTGATTATTTAATTTCAGGATAGCGAAGTTGCAGTACTGGCAGTATATGCAGGTGATCGTGCACCGCAGTTTATTAAGCAACAATACACAGTTCTTGTTCCAGAAGATGCTGAACTTGGCTCCAGGTATTACTGGTCACTATTTTTTTTTACATTTTATATTAAAAGAAAAAAAAAACTTTTTAAATAAATGAAAAATCTTTAGAAAATAATTTTTTTTAATATTGAATAAATTTGAAGTAAACGATTAATTAAAATAATCTAGAACTGGTTAAAAATCAATGAATTCATTATCAAATACAACAAAATTTAGCATAATTGGTATCACAGCAAAATGTTTCAAACCAATTGATAAACGTCGTAGCAAAGGGGAATTGTTGTATGAGTTATATTTGGATTCAACTTCAATAGAACGCCAATCATCGCCATATTTTGCAATTGATGCTAAAGATGGCATAGTTCGATTGATAAAAACGCTCGATTATGATGACAATACACAACCGAAGCATCATCAATTAACTGGTTTTTGTTAAATTTTACATCATTTTTAATCAATTTAAATGATAAAAGAAAGTAATGAACAGTGTTAAATTTGCTAATCAAGAAATCGCAAGTTTAATTTATTAATACAAATATCGCAAATTTAATTTATCAGCCAAAAGATCGTAAGTTGAATCTGCTAATTAAGAGATGGCAGGTTTAATCTATTAACCAAAAGATCGCAAGCTTAACTTATTAATCAAAAGATCGTAAGTTTAATTTGCTAATGAGAAGCTTGCAAGTTGATTTGCTAATCAAGAGATCGCAAGTTTAATTTATTAAT